GTCTTAGGAGTCCGTGTAGGAGAGAAAGGGCTGAGGGCCAAGGCCAGCTGTTGTGAAAGCATGGGTTGCCCTTAGCTGAACAAGCTAAGTTCAGCGGGGACACTTGGCTGCTATGTCTTTGGCATCTGTGTACGGCTTGGCCTTTCTGCCCTCTGTTGTGGCCTTTGCTGGGGCAGCTCCGTAGGCCTGGGTTGTGGATGCTACCCCAGGGGTGCAAGAAGGGAGGTATCACTGAAACAAGGCACCACTGGTGGTACAGGGACCTGTGGTGGTGCTGTACATAGCAAGTGTGGCGCAGCGCTTGTGAGTTTGCAATGCTGTGCTCACACAACCCTGTGCTCCCTCCTGGGGACCGGGGCCAGCATAGGTTGATCCTGGGGTGCCCCATGGCTGCCTGCAGCACTGCCCAGGGCACTGCCTGCAGCCAGTGAGCCCCCAGGAGGCCCTGTCTTTGTACAGAGAGTACTGCGGAGGAAGTGATGATTTATTCAGGACGAGGATTGCAGAGCTAGAGTGGTAACTATCAGTCTGCTTTATTGTGGCCAGCTCTGAGGGCTGTGCAGCAGTTGTGGGCCACAGAGCAGAGGGCAGCACTGGGCTGTGGAGGGGATGGTGGTCCGGATTTGTCTGCTCAGGCTGGTGGTCTCCATCCAGATGCCACGGGAGGTGTTGCTGGCCCTGCTCATGTAGTGCCTCCTCCCACCCAGGTGACAGCCACAGATGCAGACAGCGGCCCGTTTGGCTCCCTCTCCTACTCCATCGGTTCTGGCATTGGCAGCGTTGTCCCCACGCAGTTCAGCATTGATGAGAACACAGGGCAGCTGTGCACTGTGCAGCCTCTGGACCGTGATGAGGGCACATCTGCCTACGACTTCACTATCACTGCTGTTGACGGGGTGAGTGCTGGCGAGGCCGCAGGGATGTGATGCTACCAACTCAGCCCTATGCAGGGAGTACGATTGTCCTTGTCCCTGCTCTTTGTCCCGTGTCTGATCTGGTCCTTCCCCAGGGCGGTCTGAACTCCATGGTGTATGTGAAGGTTTTCCTGGAGGATGTAAACGACAACCGGCCAGTGTTTTACCCACTGGAGTATGCTGTCAGCATCAGCACACAGAGCATGCCGGGGACAGCTGTGCTGCGTGTCACTGCCCATGACAAGGACGACGGGCTGCATGGGAAAGTGGCCTACCACATTGTCCTGGGGAACACACCTCCTCTGTTCTCCCTCAACAAGGACACGGGTGAGAGCTCAGGCTGCCGCCAGAGCAAAGGGATGTGGGCAGGTGTAAAAGCCAGCCTGAGGGTTACTGCATGGCCACCTCAGCTGTGCAGTTTGCCCCCAGAGTATGTCTATTCCTCTCCCTGACATGTTGCCTCTGCCCCAGCTTCTCTAGTCCCTGTCTGCCCCTTTCCAGACTCACTCTCTGTTCTCTTGTTTCTGCTTCCTGCCCTGTTCTTCATTCGTCCCCCTCCCATCCCTTCCCTCGTTCCCCATCCCTGACTCACTGTACTTTTCTTCCTGCACGCTGCTTGCTTTGTCCCACCTGGCTGTATCCTGCTTGGCTCCTTCTCCCTGCCCAGCTCCCTCCTCTCCCCTGCTTGGTTCCCACTCCTTCCCCAGAGCTCTGTCATACTTGGTCCCACCTTTCTCCCTGGCTTCCCCTGCTCTGCTCTGCCTTGGCTACCAAAGCCAGAGTGGTTTCTGTGGGGTGGGTAAGTCCATGCTGGCATGTGGCACTAGCAGCTCTCGGCAGGACAAGCAGGGTGGTCTGTGCTCAGCACAGACATCAGGCCTTCCCCACACTGGTCCACAAGCTCCCAGAATGAGGCTGGGACAAGGCAGGCCTACTGGCCAACCTAGTGCAGGGCCACCTCCTTTGTAGGGCCTGTCCTGTTAGGTCCTTCTGTCCTACGCTCCCTCCAGGAGCCACCCCACACCCCATATCGCACCAGCTGCTGCTGCACCCCAACCCTCACCCTGCGCCCTGAGCTGGAATTCCCATGCTCTCCCTGCCCTCTCCCTAGAACTGCCCTCTAATTTGTCTCCCTGAGCCCTTACCACTGCTTAGCTCAGGGTTGGGCTTCAGGGTGAGGAGGGAGGGTTTGAGGAGCCTTTCCCAGAAGGGTTCTCCTTCTTTGCTCCAGTTCTTCCATGGTAAGTTCCACCTCTGTTTGCTGCCCCTTTAAGTCTTTCTTTTCAGGCCTGTGATTTGGCAAAGCAATGGGGCTGTTCCCTTGATGGAAGGTGACAGGCAGTGGGTGTAGGCATAGTGCTCTCTGAACTGCTTTCTTCCCTAGGTGTCATCTCCCTCTCATGGTCCCTGAGCGGCAAAGCCAACACCCTGGTGCAACTAGTGATCTCTGCACGAGATGGTGGAGGCCTGCAGGCACAGCCAAATGCCCGGGTGAACATCAGCATCGTGGAGGGCACGGTCTCACCCCCTGTCTTTGAGCAGGCTCAGTACTTCTTCACAGTGTCTGAGGACATGCTGCCGGGTGCCAGTGTGGGGGCTGTCCGGGCCCAGAACCCTCCAGGTATGGGCTTGTCCCTTTTGTACACAATCATGTTCCCTGTTTCGGCATCATCTTGAAGGTCCAGTATTGCATCTCCCTAAAGAGCAACCCCCCTTTTGGGAGCCCCACAAGCACTAAGAGGCACACATCTGAATGTGCACCCAAATGATTGTTGCCCAGCTTCCATTGCATACTTGTACACACGTGCTCATGCCCATGCATGCACACAAGGATATGAATGGGTATGTATGTACACACCTGTGTGCACACTTGTGCGTATGCACACATAGACACAGTGCTACTCTACACCCAGCAGCCCAACCCTGCCGTTGTCTGTAGTGGGCTGAGGAGGTACGCAAATCACTCCCCCTGTCTTCATTTCCATGCCCACAGGTCATGCTGAGGACATCTTTTATTCCATCTCTTCGGGGGATCCGCATGGCTATTTTTCCATCGACTCTGGGTCAGGGCAGCTCTGCACCAGCCTGCCTCTTGATCATGAATCTCAGGCAGTCCTCATTCTGGATGTCCAGGCCCGAAGTGGTTCACCCCCTGCCTATAGTAACACACGTGTGAAAATCTCTGTGTCAGATGTGAATGACAACGTGCCAGTGTTCCCAGCTCCCTCTGACTCTATTCTGCTGCCAGAGGCCACAGAACCTGGGACCACGGTGTATACTTTGCAGGCTGAGGACCGGGACAGCGGTGCCAATGGTCAGGTGCATTTCGAGCTGGTATCAGGAGGCAATGGCATCTTCAGTGTGGAGCGCTCATCAGGGGCAGTGCGACTGATTGGGGCACTGCAGTATGAAGCCAGCGCTGCCTATGGGTTGGCCATTGTGGCCCGGGATGGAGGCATTCCCCAGCTCAGCTCCACGTTCACGCTGCTGGTGCATGTGCAGGCTGAGCATGACAACGGGCCCATCTTTGACACACTCACCTACCGTGTGGAGGTGCGGGAAGGTGTGCCTGTCTCCACCCGCTTCCTGCAAGTGCGGGCCCTGGCACGTGATGCGGAAGCCACAACCCTTACCTACCACTTGCGTGCAGATGGGGATGCTGCCAGCTTTGGCATTATGCCTGAGAGTGGTTGGCTGTATGTCAAAAGCGCGCTGGACCGGGAGATGCGGGACCTGTATGTGCTCACAGTACTGGCCTCAGCAGGAGGTAGTGGTGCAGGGGGAGAAGCCCGGAAAACAGGCACCAGCACTGTACGGATCAGCATCACTGATGAGAATGACAACAGCCCCCGACTGAGTGAGGATCGCTACTTCTTCACCATTCCCGAGAATCAGGCTCCTGGTAGCAGTGTGGGGAGGGTGATGGCGAGTGACCGGGATGCCGGGCAGAACAGTCGGCTCACCTACCGCCTGCTCCAGCATGATCCCAACTTCCTTATCCACACACAGACAGGTGAGAGACCTGCTGGCTTCCTAGGCTGGGGCCAGCAGGGGAGACATAGGGCTGGTCCAAAGTGATGCAATCCAGGCCGGCACTGCAACAGAATATTCATATGCCAGTGTCCTGGTCCTGGGTTCTCCAGCAATGTACCTGAGTATGGGCCCATTTCTAAAGGGGTCTCTGGGCTGATCTTGTCCCTACTTCTCCCTCACAGGAGAGCTCAGCACCAAACATAGCCTGGACCGGGAGCAGCAGTCCAGCTATCAGCTGTTGGTGATCGTGCAGGATGGGGGAGCACCACCCCGCAGTGCCACAGGAACAATCTATGTCACTGTGCTGGATGAGAATGATAATGCCCCTGCTTTCCTTCATGTGGCCAGTGGTCAGGAGCTGCCTGTGCAGGTAGGGGCAGCAGGCCATAAACCTGGGGAGACAGGGGCGTGAGAGCCCAGTGGGGGAGGGGGTGCTGCAGGAAGAAGGGGAGTGGGCAGGGGGTCCCAGGAGCATTCTGAGGTGGGGGCAAAGCCAGCATGAGTTGCATCCATGCAGCAGCCAGGGCAGTCTGGCAAATCTGAGGAAGATGTGGTAAGAAGGGCGTGTTCTTGGGTGGGAAATGTAGACATCCCTATGCAGGGAGCAGGTGAGGACTGCAAAGGGAGAAAGATAGGAGTGACTGGCAGGCGGAAGCGGTTGGCTCACACATGCCTGCAAGGAGGGAAGGTGAAAGGGAGCCCCAAATCTGACCCAGCGGAGCCAAAGTAAAGCACCTGCAAGCAGGGAGGCACGAGGTGCTGTTATCTTCTGGATCTGAGGACTTTCAGTTTAGCCACTTGACTTTCTGGGAGGACAAGGAAGGGCTGCCCAACTGAGTTTTGCACTCACAAAGGTTTCCTGAAAATCAGAGACTCAGGATGTGCTATGGGCCCCAGCCCAGCTTTTTCCCCTCTGAGCACTGGCTGATGGCAGCAGTCACCCAGGCACAGAGTGTGCTGCAGCCCTAGTTACGTCTGTGCTGCTAAATACAAGTGGGCAGGGACCTACCTCCCACCTCCCTCAGGTGCCCGCATCTGCTCTCCTGTGGGCTGGCCCCTCTGCAGCGGCTGCTTGGTGAGGGCTCCCTGGAGCCAGCCAGGTGGTGCTGGCAGGGTGCCAACAACAGAGCAGGTGAGCAGTGGAGGCCTTGTTCTCGTTGCCTCTGGGGATAAAGCTGCAACTGAAGGGATGGAGCATTACGGCACTTCAGACAGCATGCCTAAAGCCACTTGCACTGTGCTGGCTTTAAAACTTCATAGTGACAGTAGTCTTTCTCTTGGCTCAGGTCCTGCTTGAGCTGCACCCCAGAGGCAGGTCAGAGCAGGCAGAATGGTGCTGGCAGGTCACTGCTGCACCAGGGAAGCCATCAGCACAGGATGCTAGGGACACTGCAGCTCCAGTCAGGCCTACTCTGTTCATTGCTCTTCCCCTTGCAGTTCCAGGTCACAGCTGTCCCTTGTGTAGCCTTTTTCTTACATGTTCAGCTGGCACTCTCTCCTTGCAAAACTGTCTGGCATGGCTTGGCCTGGATGGGGCACCTCTCAGGGCTTGGCAGAAGAAGGCAGACTTGGTCTTGTCCTCTCTCTGAACAACACTCTGGCCTCTGAGTTACTCCTGCAGGCCAGGAACCAGGCAGCCATGTGAAAAGCCTCTGCAGAATGCCACTACTCAGACTGGGTGTCTGCAGCATGTCCTCAGGGACACCCCCAACACACCTGCACAGCAGGCTCTGCAATCGATTCCAATGTATGAGGGGTTGTGAAATGTTGAGGATGCTCTGCTGGACCTGGGCGGGGGAGGGCTCTTCTCATACAAAGGTACCACAAAAGAATATGCATATTCAGGGAGACAGGGCAAGGCTGGGACAGATTTAGAGTCTTGAAGTCAAATAAATGCTACAACAGTCCAAGCAGAACAAATATCTGAACACTTTGGTTTGAAGCTCTCCTGCTAGAAACACTGGCGGAGAAGGGTGAAGCCCATGGAGAAGTCATTGTTAATCATCATCTAGGTATAAAAGAAAGGTTCAGAGGGAAAAGGAAAAACTAAATGTAAATGCAAAGCTCAGTAATGTATGGCAGACATGCTCAGTGAATTATTCATATCAACATTCATTAGACAAAGCAGAGAGAAGTTGCTGTACTAGACCTTTCTTTACGTGTAAACTAAAGGGGTGTCTCCCACTTAATGCTGTGACATGAGCTTGCTCATTGGCAACGAGCTGTCAGGAGCAAGTGGTGTTTGCACAAGAGTTGCAGTGGGCATAGATCCTCCCAGGGATTAATAACTAGGAAAAGGAGAGGGAGCAAAGGGAAGTTAAAAATGGTCTGTTTTCACAGAGGCGGGATGTTGCTGGTGGGGTTGCAGGACCAACATTGGTATCCTTGCTATTCAGTGTTTTCATATATCCTTCAGAAAAGGTGATGGTTTGCTGATGATACTGGTCTATTCAGAGTAACGAAGATGAGGGCTGCCTGTGGAGAACTGCAGAAGGATCCTGTGTTACCGTTTAACTAGTAAAGAGGATGGGCGATGAAATTCGTTGTTGCTAACTGGGGCGTGATATATATACGACAAAAAGTGATCTGAATTTCATTTACACAGTAGTGGGCTCTGAATTGGCTACTGAAGTTTAAGGAGAAGATTGGGGGTATCACTGTGACTTTTGGGAAAATATTTTTGGGAAAATATCAGGTCAGGGCTTGGCAGCAGTCAAAAAGGCAAATAAAATGATAGGTATTATTAGAAAAGGAACAGAGAATGAAAGAGAACATTATTACCTTCCATCTCAAATTCTGCACATACTCTGCCCTGCCTTCATTCCACTAAATCAGCTATAGTGCTAGAAAAGGTTCAGAGAAGGGTGTTAATATGAGCTACAGTAGATAACGGTTTCCATGCAGGAAGAAATTACTTGAACGTTCTTTGGCATGGAAGAGACTGCAGGACAACAGAGGTGTGCAGTAAGTGGCACAGGAAAAATCACAGGAGAATTAGAAGTTGCTCTTCTCACAGTACAAGAGCTAAGCAGCTTCATAGGAAATGACCAGCCTGCAGGTTTAAAATAAACAAAGACAGTACTTTTTCATGCGGAACATAATTAAATTGTGAAATCATTGCCAAAAGTTGCATGGGTTCAAAATTAGATGAATTCATGGAAAGAAAAAAAAAAATCCATCAAAGACTGCTGGACAAAAATATAATCTGTGGCTCAGGAAGTGACTTAGCCACAGGCTGCTGGAAGCTGGGAAGGTTTCACGGGAGGATTACTCTCTACATGTCCTATTTCTTTGCGTCTTCTCTATATGCCCGCTGCTGGCAAAGCTGTGCCACTGGGTGAGATGGCATTTTGATCTTTAGACCGAGCTGGTACTTACTTGCACAACCTTCCTGGAGGGCAGACACCTGACCTGGACAAGCCTGCCTGGTAGCCGTCTTACAAAAGCTGAGTTTTTTGCAGAGGCAAGACCACTTCTACTGCTGTGTGTGCATCAGAAATGGCATTTATACACGAAGCCCATGTGGCTGCTGCTCATGTGACACCTGCACCAAGTCACTACTTTCATGCAACGGAGCTTGAGTCTTTGCAGGAGAGGAGCGTGGCCGTGCATGTGAAGCAGGAGCCCCTTGTGTCCTGGTGAGGGGCGATTAGGGACAGCTGGGGAGGACAGATCCTGCCCCAGCCTTTTATAGGAGAGAGGTTGGAAGGAGCTTAGGAGGCCCCTTAGGAGGCATGGCCCCAGTTGGAGGTGTCTACGCAAACACTCATTTTCATAAAGCAGCCAAGCTATATTTAGAAGGTCCTCTGCCTCCATCACTGCTGTGAAAGGCTGTTCCAGATTTCTTGATCTGGTAGTTAGAAACCGTCTCTTAATTTCCAGCCTAAACTAATTTCTGACCACTTCATACTCATTTGTTCTTGTGCCAATACTGTGTTTTTGCTTAAATAGCTCTTCTCCCTCCTTGGAATTTCCCTCCCCTTCCCCAGTGTTTATAGAGTGCAGTCACATCACTGCTTGGCCTGGCTAAACAAGTCCAGCTCCTCTGGTCTCCTCTCCCGAGCACCACCAGCGTGGAGCTCACGCCAGCAACTTGTGCAATGCATTAACACTTGCCTGCTCTCAGGAGCTTGCAGCGTCTTTCCCTGGATTCTTGCTTGGATTCTGATGTCTTTTTCATGCATGCATCAAAGTGGTAGCCCACAGCAAGAGCCTAGCACAGCTGGATCTGTGAGGATGGTTTGTGCTGTAGGATGTGAATTTGAGGTCTGTGACAGTGTGCGTGGTGGGTAAGGGATCATAGAAGCTGTGCCAGCTGAGCGACCTGCTCTGTTGGTGAGGTGTGGGTAAGTGCAAGGAGTCTGTGCTGAGGTAGGGACTGGTCTGCCAGAAGCTATGGTTTATTTGCCGAGGGTACCCCCAAAAGCTGACAGCTGATGAGGGGTAGTAGTGGGGATACATCTGTTTCCATAAACATCCAGGAAAAGTGCTTGCGTGCAAAGCTGTCATATTGGTCTCTGTCAGGAAGCTGGTAACTCACCTCAGAATGTGGGCTTAGGTGAGCATGTGCATAATTAATGTATTGATTGTCCTATGATGCATTAACATAAATTGGTAATCTTGACTGACTGCAGCTAGTCAGTCAGCAGTGCTAACTGGAAGCAAAGGAGTGAAAGGAAAAGCCCTAAGAATTAGGGTGTCCAGGCCCAGAAAGAGCTGTCACTGCATTTGCAGTTTGCAGACCTCCAGTGGGTTGATTGGTGAGAACGGAGGAAGTCACCCACTGTTGCCAGTGTCTAGCCCCTGAGTGTGTCAGCACAAACATTTGTATTTGCATCTGAAGGGGTCTGACAGAGGTAGAGAGAACCAGGACTCCTGCGGAGCCCTGAATTTTCCCTGGCTATGGTTAAAGGAGGTAGAGGCTTTGAATGTAACACGTGCAAAGTAGTGTTGTCCCGTCACCACACAGCCCACTGCTGCAGCCTGTGCCAGTGCTGCTGAGCTGGTTATTAAACAAGGCAGCATGGGAGGAGGGCTGACGAGGCAGGGACTCATTTTGCCAGCTTTGCTGCCAACTCCTCTGTGTTGTCTAGCCCTAGGCACAGCCTGAGAGTCTTGGCTGGGGAGAATCTGTGCCTTGGGTGAGTGGTGTAGAACCATGCAGATCCCGCACTGTGCTTGGGAGTCTGTGGGGGAAAGTTTGGGGATGTCCAGTGCCATTCAGCTGCTCCCTGTGCTGTACTGCAGGTGCTGGAAGAGAAGCCATCAGGACTTCTAGTTGCCTCCCTGCAGGCCAAAGACCCAGATGAGGGTGAGAATGGGACCATCATCTACTCGCTGACAGGTATGAGCTGCAGAAATGGCTACCTAAAGCTGCGTTCTGCCGTGCAGCTGTGACCCTTGTGGGCAGATGGGTGCTTGCTGCACAAACCGTGCTGTGCCACACTCCCTCCTCCATTGCGACCTGCCCTCTGCCTTCCATCCTCCCTTTGTCTCACTGCAGCATTTCACCTTCTCTCTGCAGGAGCCTGGGCCGAGCGTTTCACATTGCACGTGGCCACTGGAGAGCTGCGTACTGCCACAGTGTTACGCCGACTTGATCGTGCTGAGTATATCTTCACTGTGACAGCCAGTGACCGGGGCACGGTGCCTCGCAGTACATCGGCCGTTGTCCGCATTCAGGTATCCAGCACTCCAGCTCCCCTCATCCCTGTGCATCTGCCCTTCACTCACCTCTCAGAGGGTACTGTCCAGAGGGTACTTGGCAGCCTTCCTCCCCACCTTTTCACCCCCAGCACCCTTGTCCCAGGGCACCCTCTGCTTTTACTCAGCTCCATCACCTGGGTGGAGAACCCAGGGAAGGGATGGGTCTGACTGCCACCATGAGATTTCCCATTTGTAAACCGGTCACCATCAGCATTGACAGTAAACAGTTCTGTCTTTCCTGGACTGGGACGGCCAGCACTGTCCTAGATAGATTGTTTCAGAAAAGGCCTTAGAGGTTCCTTGTACAGAGACATTAATTCTTCCCAGCTTCCACTGGAAATAATGCTCCATACACGTGAGGTTATCTTCATGTCTGCATAACTCTGCATAACTCTGGTGCTCTGTATTGGCTCTGGTGTCTGCTGTACTGGCTCACACAGCCAAGTCCTTATTCTGTTGTTTCTTAGTAATGAGCTTCATCTTACAGCAGAGACTTCAGTTTCTCTCTAACCAATGCACCTTCACGGTATGCTGTTTTGCCGCCTCCTGTCCCTGTCCCTGTCCCTGTCCCTGCGGTATCCTTTTCCCAAGGCCACTCAGTTCTCCTCTTTTGATGTTCTGCTGCTTTACTGTGCTGGCAGTGCCTCTAACACTATCAGCAAGCTCATAGCGTACGCGGCCTTCTTTTGCTCTTGCACCTGCCAGTAGGAAACGTCTATGCCAAGAGCTGTCTCTTCTCATCTTGGAGGTCTGCTTGTGACCTTCCTTGAGCCAGTATAGTCTTTTTCTTATGACACGGCAATTCCCGTACTGCTCCTTTCATGGGTTTAATGAGTAATCTCCCGTTTGCTACTGCGTCAGAGTTCAGCTAAAACCCAGGCAAGTTAGGCCTGCTGCATTTCCTTTGTGCTTGAGGAGAGAAGTACTGTGTTAGCCTGGCACATCTGCCTTTAGTCATCCCACAATATGTTTTATTCTTTTTCCTTTATATGTCATGTCTGTAAGTGTTCTTGTCTTCAACATTGTTCTACAGCCTTCAAAGTACTGAGGCCAGGCTGACAGGCTGGTTGTCCCTGAAGTGCTCCTTCACATCCCCATAATGTAGCTACTTGCTTGGCAGTCTGATACCTCTCTGGGTTGACGGTTTTACTGTGTTTTCTTTCTCCATCTCCCTGGCCCGGTTCACTGACACATTTTCCCTTCAAATGACACTATTGCTTTTTGCGCATTTCCAGTCCCATCAGCAGCTGCCCCTCACCCCTGATTTAACTTCAATATCTTTAATAAAAATGGTAATAGTATTTATTTATCTTTGGGTCATACTGAATTATCTTTCTTCTCCACATCTCCCGTCTGGATGAGCCTTTCCTCCCTTCTTACCCTCTCTTGCTTATGTTTTGCAGAATTGTTTCTGCTGGTGTCTGTTTCCTTTGCAGGGTCTAACCCCCCCCCCCCCCCCCCCCCCCCCCAGGTGAAGATTCTTTTTCATCCTGTCAAACCTGTACTTATTCTCAGTATGTCTTTCAGGTTCTTATTCATCTGTTAGGCTGCAAGGCCGGTGACCTTGCCTCCCTCCACCTGCTCTTTGCAGGCCACATGTCCAGCTGGCTCTCCAGCTGGCTCTCCAGTGTGTCCTCCTGTCATGTGGTACCCTCTCACTGCTCTCTCTCCTCACAGGTGCTGCCATCTTCCCGGGTGCTACCACGGCCTGATGCCACTGTGCTGACCCTGCACCCCCTCGAGGGGGTCAAGCCAGGGTCTGTGATCGGCTCAGTGGCCCCCCCAGATGCCCCTGTGCGGGGACAGCTGACCTACACGGTGGTAGGAGGTGGTGGGGATGGCACCTTTGTGGTCGACAGTGTGACAGGGGAGATCTATGCAGCCAGGGAACTGGACTATGAAGCTGGGGCACGGCACACGCTGCAGGTGAGCGCTGAGGACATGCAGTATGGTTATCCCTCCAGCCGGCTGGTGCTGGTACAGATCCACGTGCAGGACTGCAATGACCAGGCACCCACGTTTCCTGAAGACCCCATTACCATCGTGGTGCCTGAGAACACCCAGGCTGGCTCGTCCATCTTCACCTTCCAGGCACTGGACGGGGATGGCGTGGGTCCCAACAGCCAGGTGCGCTATGCCCTGCTGCGCCAGGAGCCACCCGGGGCCCCCTTCCAGCTTGACAGCCGCTCAGGGCTGCTGACCCTACGCGAGGGCCTTGACCGGGAGGCTGCTGCCTCCTTCCTCTTGGTGGTGGAGGCCATGGACCAGGCCCGCAATGTCAGTCAGCGCCGCTCGGCAGCTGTGACAGCCCGCGTGTTTGTGACTGATGAGAACGACAACACGCCTGTGTTCCTCTCGCCTGCTGCTGTCAGCATCATGGAGGACCAGCCGACTGGGTTTGTGGCTCTGCATGTGGTGGCCCAGGATGACGATTTGGGAGAGAACGGGCGTGTGAGCTACTCGTTGCGAGCAGGCAACAGTGACGGCCGCTTCCACCTCAATCCCAGCACTGGTGAGGGGTGCAGGGCAGGGGGACGGAGGGTGGGCGGCAGGGACACTGGGCATGTGGGACCAAGGAGGGTGCAGGGATACGTGGGGATGTGGCACAGCGCACGGGAGGAGACCATGGCCTGGGGAACACGATCACCCAAAGGTAAGAGAGCCTCGCAGGGTGCGGGGAGCCCTGAGCATAGCACCTGGCTGGCATGGTCCTGCCATTTTCTCTCAAGATGAGGCTGTCCCTGCCTCACCCCAGTGCCTGTGGCTTTGCAACTCTTCTGTCCTGGGAGTATTCTGCCCCTATGGGGTGTAGGTCCCAGCTCACCCCTCTCCCTGTGTCTGCAGGTGCACTCTCCATCGTGCGGGCTCTGAACCGGGAGGAGATGGGGCAGCACAACCTGACCGTGGTGGCCACAGACCACGGCTTCCCACGCCGCTCGGCCACACAGCTGCTCTCTGTGCTGGTCCTGGATGTCAACGACGAGGCTCCCATTTTTGAGAGGCCCGAGTACGAGGCACATGTCATGGAGAACTTGCCAGCTGGCAGCCCTGTGCTGCAGGTGCTGGCCACGGACCAGGACCTGGGTGAGGATGCAGGGCAAGGGTGAGCTGCCCAGTTTGGCCAGGGGCCCTTTTGGGGATGCAGCACCCAGGACAGGGTACACTCTGCTCCCCCCTTCCCCACTTCAGAGAGCCTGGGGAACCGGGGCGGGGGGGGGAGGGAATCATCACCTAGGCTGGAGGAGGAAAGAGAGGGGCTGATCCCTGGGGGAAACTGAGAATCAGGACAGGGACTGTGATTCCCTCTGCTCCTCGAGACAGTGGCCTGTTCCTTGTGCTGTTTCAAGGAGGTTTCTTGCCCCATCTTCCCTTCCAGAAACTGTGTTGTGTTGGGGCCTCCCCCCACCCCGCACTGCACATCTCTGCCCCCCGCTTTGCTAGGGGGTGAGATTGTCCTCTCCCACAATGTGTATCACCCCCGAGTGGGAAGCCTAGAAGGAGGGAGATGCAGGGCTCAGCCTAGTGAGAGGCTCTTGGGGGTGCTGCTGGGCTGCCCTCAAATGTACTCGTCCCTGCAGGTGCCAATGGGCAGGTGTCCTATGGGGGTCTCTCTGGAGGGCCATTCTCCATCCACCCACAGACGGGGCTTATTGTTACCACACAAGCACTGGACCGTGAGGAGCAGGAGCAGCATGTGGTGATGGGTACGGCTGTGCTGGTGCATGGGAGGGGTGCAGCAGGCATGGCGGGAGGGGGCAGGTAAGGAGCAGGGAGGAGGTAGACGGGTGCTCTCTGCTGCTGGGGTAGGGCAGTATTGTGGGGGGAGAGGCCAGGTCAGGGGAAGTGACAGCATTTGTGGGGCATGCTTGGTTGTTGGGTGGGTGCAGCAGATGGGAAAGCCTGATCCCATGCCTGATGGCCCCTGCAGTTGTCTGGGCATGAGCATGTGGCAGCCTTGGCAATAGCTCTCAGCTAGTGGGGTACCCTGCAGTTCTCTTGCTGTGTCTCTGCAGTCTATGCCCGGGACGGTGGCCTGCCTCCCAACCTCTCCAAGGCAACTGTGCGGATCACAGTAGGGGATGAGAATGACCATGCACCGCACCTGGAGAGTGAGTCCTGCTCCCTTGAGGTTCCTGAGAACCAGAGCTGTGTGGCACTCTACACCCTGCGGGCCACCGATCCTGATGGAGGCGAGAACGGGCGCTTGGAGTACCACGTGGCAGGTGAGGAGCACAAGAACACAGGGAGCTCTGCAACTTCATCCATGGTTGTCAGTGAGGGCTATGCTCCCTGGGGCACCAGCGGCTCTGGGAAGCATCAGCTTCCTGTTCTGCCTCAGCTCTTTCCTGTTCCAAACCACAGGTGGCTGCTCCCTCCTCTCAGCCCTGTAGTTCCTTTGCTCCAATAAAGAGCACCCCAAGGTGTGGACAGGCTGCACTCGATGCTTACCCAGTCTCAGGCTGGTTCCCCAGGCTCAGGCTAGCTCCATACTCCTCTCTTGCCTGCTCTGGCCTGCTAAATTTACAGATTGCAAAGTGAGGTCTCTCTGCTGCTATCATGCCATGCCTTATCTGTGGGCTCCCTGTAGAAGCAGCCCTGACCTGTGAGCTGGTGGAATCAGTTCCTACACAAACCACTGGACCAAGGAGGTTTAATCCCTCTGGGGTCTTATATGGAACAGCTTACACCACCTTCCATGCCAGTTTGTGCTGGGATGAGCTTTGTGCTGTCCTCCCAAGGCAGCATAGGGCAGGTCTCTCCCTCTGCCCACCCCAAGTCATATTATACTTTCTTGCTGCTCCCTCTCTTTTGTCTAGATGGAGACCCTGGGCAGGATTTCAGCCTAGACCCTGTCTCTGGCATCCTCTCCACTGCACGTGCCCTCGACCGGGAACAAGTTGCTTCCTACAGCCTCACAGTGGTGGTGCAAGACCATGGCACGCCACCACGCAGTGCCACCATGTCAGTGAGCGTGCGGGTGCTGGACCTAAATGACAATGCACCTAGTTTTGCTCAGGCCACCTACACAGTGGAGGTGTCAGAGGACCTGCCCGTTGGCACCCTGGTGCTGCAGCTGGTCGCTCAGGATCCTGATGAGGGCACAAACGGGCAAGTCTCCTACTACCTGGGTAATGAGTCGCTGGGCATGTTCCAGGTGGAGCCACAGAGTGGGCGCATCACAAGTGCCCATGCCCTGGACCGGGAACGCCACCCCAGTTACAGCTTCCTGGCCAGGGCTGTGGACTCAGCACCATGGGAGCCCAAGAGCGCAGCCGTGCGTGTCACAGTCACAGTACGGGATGTCAATGACCATGCCCCTGCCTTCCTGCACAGCCCACTCACTGTCAACCTGTCCCGTCACACACCGCTCAAGCAGGTTGTGGCCACCATGAGGGCAGAGGACAGGGACGCAGGTGCCAATGCCTCCATCCTGTATCGCCTTGCCACCCCCAATCCTGCCTTTGCCATCAACTCCTACACGGGGGATATCCAACTGCTGCAGCCCCTTGGCTCGCTGCAGCCGGCACTCTCCTCCACTGGTGTGGTGGTGATCCACTTGCAGGAAGAGCCCTACCGAGGGCTGCGCTTTCCCCGGAGCACCAGCGAAGTGGCTCTGCCAGAGAACGCTGCCCCAGGTATCAGCTGGGCAGAGTGATCAGCAGGCTCTGGGATGAGACAGGATAGGGTGGCGGGGGAGAGTGGGTGCTGGGCAGCACAGTTGTGGGGAACTCAGGGAGCACTGCATGGTCTCAGGGGGCCCCATCATACCTTGGGGATACCCAGGGGACAACAGAGCCTGACGGTCCAAGATGTTGAGGGTGGTAATCCCTGGGGATTTGCTTTGGGGTGTTCAGGTCACTGTAGATGATCACAGGTGCATGGTGGTTCCTGAAAGGTCTCCAGGGTTCACAGACCGTAGCAGAGCTGTGAACAGACCCCAGGAGTCCTGGCTCCCAGCCCAAAGTTTTCCATGGGATCTCACTTCCCCTGGTGGCAGTGTCCCTGGGCAGAGCCATGTCCTCGTGGTACAGCACAAGCTGCCCACCCACCGCCCCACCTCTCTCTGCTGACTCTCCCGAGGCTCTGCCACCCCTTCACTCTGCTCCCTCCCTTCCAGGCACAGCAGTGGTGAGCATCCAAGCTATGCACACAGGGGGCTCGTCTGGGCGCATCACATACAGCATCGTCAGTGGCAACGAGAAGAATGCTTTCCTTATCCAGGGCGGGAGCGGGTGGGGGGGGGGGGGGGGGGGGGGGGGGGAGTCACTTGTGATCCGCCGATGCCCGCTAAGCTATCACAAAGCGCAGAGCGCAGGGACACAGTGTATACCTCTATACCAAACAATTAAATAGCCCTAGGACTTGGACCTGGGCATTGTCCTGTCATCATCGAGAGGTTGTGAGCAAAGCTCTAAGCACAGTTTTGTTCCCTGCTAACTAGACCTCTCATCAGAAATTCCGGGGCCAGTTCAGGAGTTAGCAGAGGCCAGGTATCATTGCCAAGAGGCAATCTGGGTGCAGCCCTTGCCTTAGATGGCAAGTTCAGCTGTACAACACATCCCATACTGTGGCCTCAGAGTCAGGCACCTGGACTGCCCACCTTCTCATGTGGCAACCATGACAACTTTCTCTGTACAATCCCAAAGGTGACAATAAATGAGGAACTGCTGTCCAGGGGGCATTTCAAAGGAAGCCCTCCCTCTGCGCCAAACTGCTCCCTGAGCAGTGATTGGATGTTGGTGCTTGTGAGCGTCTGATAACCCTGGGAAGACCACTGAGGCAGATCATAGGGTGCTGCCCAGTGATCCTGGACAAGCTGGGGTCACGTGCACCATGAGCTTCAAAAGGAAGCCTTTGAAGGGCTGTGCATCCCTTGACTTCAGGGAAGGCCAGGCTGAGGGTAGGGTGAGGAGTGCCTTGCTGTGAGACTGGTGCTTGTCCTGTAGTTCGGCAGGGACTGGGATATGAAAAAAGTCAGTCCTCAGAACTCAGCGGTCAAGCTGGAATTTTCCTGTGAAAACCTTGTTCTCCTGTGGCCTGCCAGGCAGCTGGGGCTGGGACAGGGTCCCAGGCTATTAGAGCTCATTCAAGTCAGGGCACCTGTGCCCTCTTCAGCCCATGGCCACTGTGCCGGCCCTGCGAGCAATCCATGGCACCGCACGCAACCCTTTGGCTCCCTGATTAACCACTGGCCACTGCAAGTGGCCCATGGGCACAGTGATAAACACTTAGATGTGCACATGTTCCCACAGGAAGCCACAGTCATCATGGCAGCCCACAGACACCACCCATTCCCTCAGCTTCCGCACAGGCATCCTCAGCACCATGGTGTCACTGCGAGCCACTTGCAGCCCCATGCTGCTGCCACAAGTGAGCCTCAGCATGGGCATTGGGAGCACGGGGGAGAGGCCAGCTGAGGACACCACATCCTGGGGAGGAGATTCCAGCCCCCTGTTGCGACACAGCCCCACTGGGCCCTCAGGAGCCTGACCCACAGCTGCAGACATCCTGCTACAGCCATGAGCAACCCCACAGGGTCTGCCCCACGAGACTGCCTGCATCCCATAGGGCCTAATGCTACCTCAGATTAAGCAATGTCCATGCCCTGACCGTGACTCCTCCATCACCCAGCACCTACTAGCACCTCAACAGAGCCGCCCCTATGGCTGAACTGAACTCAGGAGCCTGCTGATACTCTGCAGTTCCTGAAACCAGAGCCAAATGGCAGCGCAGACAGGCTCACGGGGCACTTTGACCCAGGTCTTGCCCCAGACTGAGCTGTGGAGGGCTGCTATTCCCAGGGCTGATACCTGCCTGCTTTCGATCCCAGGGATTTCTACCCGTGAAGGACCAGCCTTCACACACCACCAGAGGAATGTGTCTGCCTCAAGCTGCTGTTCAGAAGTGAGCGTTTGGTAGCTGTGGAGCTGGCCTGGAGCTGATAGGTCCATGAAGTGCAGGAAGGGCTGACCGGGTAGCACCTTGGCCAATCTTTTCTGGTCCCTGAGCTAGCAGCCACCATGCTCCCACGTGCAGCCAGGCCTCTTGGCTGATGCCTGAATGGCTGCAGTCATGACCCAGGGGTGAAGGCAGCCCCAAGCAATGCCCCGGCTGCCCACAGGGCCACCAGAGCTATGCCTTGTCCCCTGTGCCTGGTTCAGAGGTGGGCTGTGTGACAATAGCAGCTGTTTGGGGGCCCCTGAGCAGACATAGTCCAAAGAGGCTGTTGCAAACACTGTAACCACTGCAGCAGATCAGAGCTAAATCCCTGTGCAGACGACACAGCCAAGACAGACCTGGCAGAGCCCCTCTCCTCTCCCCTTCTTTTCTACTCTGGTCTGCAGTAAGGCCCTGTGCACCAGGATCTTGCATGGGAGGATGAGAGCCGGTGAGGGGAGTCATGCTTGTCTCTGTTGTCCTGGGTAGCATGAGCAGGACTCTGCCACATTGCAGGGCTGTGGCACTGATCTGTGTGGCACGCTGTGAGGCTCTGCTGCAGGGAGGCCTGACCTGGTCACAGAATGGCATCCCCCATGTCCTCGCTGTGATCCCTGTCCCTTCATGTCCTTCCACCCTGTCTCTGCTCAGACTGTGCCTGCCAACAGTTCCCAAGACACCCTGGCCATGTCCTGGCTGCGCCTTGGTTGCTGTGGCAATGTCACTTCATCTCAGTGAGGAGACATTTCCCTCTGGCGGAGTGCCCAGAATACAAGGTTATTCCTTTAAAATGTGTCCTTCCTTGAGTCCCATTTGTCCGTCTGTGAGACACTGCCCTGCTTTCTCCCAAGGTGAAGGGCTGCGTGCTGCGACTGGGTATGGTTCACTGAAGCACTGCAGCAAGGGGGCTGGCACAGCATGGCATGGCACAGAGCAGCTCTCTTGCCCTGCGCCAGCTGCTGGGCAGTGTCACAGTGGGCCCTGTCCCTTTGGCCCTGCTCTGACAGTGGGCCAGTTTGTGACTGTGCTAAGCTGTCTCCAGGCTTGTCTCCTCTCCAGAGAGGACTAGCGGTGGTGCCCACAGGAGCTGTGTGAGAGCTTATCATGGGAAAGGAGCCCTCACCCACTGTGTTGCAGACTGAAGTGTCTGCTGTGGGCAAGGCAAGAGCAGGGAAAGTCTTGGGAGCATCTTCAGCCTCATGCCATTTTGCCTCAGGCTCTGCTGCTCCTGTCCCAGGTAGGAACAGCCCTTCAAAGGGAGGACTGTGTTGACTGCTTTCCTTGTATGTGCTCTGGGCCAAGCCGGCGCTGGAATCAAGGCCTTCTCCAGCAGCCAAATGGTACCAGAGGCACAAGGGACTACAGCCGGCTCCCAGCCCTCAGGTTGCAGGAGGTGAGGACACAGCTGTTCTCCAGAGGAGCTATAATCTGCATTTTTCCATTCCTAGCTGTATGGCCTGGTTTCAGCTGTATTTATCTGCACTTATGTTATCAGGCAAAGCTGGCAGCAGAGCTCTTATGCAGGATCCAAGCTTGTCTGAGGCCACAAAGCTGTTCCACATGCCCAGTACTTGCATCCCTGTTGGCTGACTAGTTCACCTAGCGGTTGCATGTAGAGGCTGAAATGGACTTGAGACTCTGCAGGACCCCCCAAGATAGAGATTTAGCAACAAGAGCACGGTGCCTCCTCATTATGTTTGGATGCATCGCTGTGGGAACGCTGCCAATCATTTTGGTGTACCTTTTTGGATGAGAAAGCAAGACCTTCTTATTATGAGATGCCAGGCACAGGAGGATAACAATAAGATGAATAGCTATCTGTCCGCAGGCTACTAGCAGGCCACAGTGTCTCTACAGGGATTTGACCAAGCCTAGACTAGTAGCTCCAGTTAGATGACTGGCTTGGAGCTTGATAACCTTACTTGGGAATATGGGATTTGACGTGGGACAGTTCTTTTTTAAACTGGCTATACCTCAGATGATGTCTCCAGTGGGAGAACTACTACATACTTTATGTAAGGGGAAGCTGACCGTTCTGGGCAATGCATTGGCTAGTTTGGACAGGACATGAGTCATTCACAAGGCACTAGCATGCAGAACTAAGAATCAAGAGGTCTGTGAGTTCCCCTGGGGTACCCAGGCAAACACTCCCCTTGGGCCTGGGAAAGGGAGTGACTTGTGGTGGTGAGCAGAGCCTGATTCTGAGCAATCTGCTGAGCCTGCATCGGCAGACTAGCTCTTAGCTGCTTTCTGCACATCTCTGTTTTGAACTGCAGGATTTATCATCCAGGGCAGCTTGTTGGGGCTGATCAGAAGGCTATCAACTTGGAAAGAGCTTGGAGGAGCTCAGTATATTTTTCTGTGTATTTGGGAATGGACGGATGAGTGGAGGGATGGACTGAGTGCAGGGGGACAAAAGAGATGAGGGATGGATGTGGTGGTGCATTGCTCACCCCCTCTTCCCCTCCCCCCCCCAAAACATCCTGCTGTTTCCCCGCTCCCAGGTGCCATCTCAGTTCAGGACTCCAGCAGCCTGGATTTCGAGGCCAGCCCCCGGCTGCGCCTTGTGGTTCAGGCAGAGACAACAGCTTCCTTCGGCTTTATGGCCATAAACCTTAACCTGCAAGACGTGAATGACAACCTGCCACGCTTCCAGCTGCAGAACTACGTGGCCTTCATCTGGGAGTCACAGAGCTATGACTCCCCAGTCATCCAGGTAGCACTGGGGGCATAAACAGGGACACCTGGGCCCTCAGCCTGCCCCTTATGAGGTGAAGAGGCGGGGGCTGTGCTGAGGGCCAGGGCTGGGATCTATGGATCTGTAGGTCTAGCCTGCAGTGCTCTGATTTGCGATGCTCCACAACTACTGCTGAATGTGGCTTTGCAGGTCCTGGCAGATGATTTGGATCAGGGGGCGAATGGGCAGGTGACTTATGCCATCAACCAGTCCCTGCCAATGACAGGCTTGTACCACATCGATCCTCAGACCGGCACTATCACTACAGCTGCCATCCTGGACAGGGAGATCTGGTCCCAGACCCGGTGAGTGGGGCCAGACCAACTTGTGCCACAGATATGAGGGGGTCATAGCTATTGAGCAGCATCCCCAAGGCTGCAGAGGATCCTCTGATACTTGCTGCCACCCAAAGCTGTTTCCACCCTATCTGTAAAATGCTTTTGCCAAACAGCAGCGAAAACTAGGGCTTAGTGGAAACATGGGTAGCAAATGGACCCGAGGGCATGACAGATGGCCGTGAGATGAGCCAGTGCTCTGTTCAGCCCAATCTCAGCAAATATGAGACGGTTACGGGGGGGGGCAGTGGACTGCTTTGAATGGCTGCATCCATTCCCTTTCCTGCCTCCTTAATCCAGACCATATATACACAAGTCTCTTCCCACTCCCACACATGGCACCTTCCTACCCTATCATACCTTCCAGGAGCTGCGCACTGTCTTGCAAGTCTTCCTGCATTCAGCCCAGGTCCTCTGGACCCTTCACCACATGCTCTAGGCATCCTGCAGCCATTCCAGCCACATGCATTTAAGATAAGAGCACACACTACATACAGTGAATTCAGGTCCTTCCCCACCCTCTTACACATGCATGGTCCAGATACAGGGCACAACTGCCGCCACTCCACCCCAGGTTATGTTCCCTCCCTCCGCCAAACACTGATGTCTGTACAACTCTTTGCCCTCTTCCCAGGCATGGGGAGGCTTAGGGCAATTATTTCACTCACATGCCCATCACCTTTCCACACATACAGAGCCTCCATGCGCTCCCTAACACCCAGATATGCTCCAAATGCAGTGACCCATCTCCCTGCATCCTCCAAGACGCTCTGTCTGCAGTGCCACACACCCATTCAATACTGCTGCCCCTTGCACAGACTGTAAATGCTATGGGTGTGTCCACAGCCTGCCTCACAAATGCTCCCAACCACACAAGGGTTGTCCCATGTGCATGCACCAGGGGCTGTGCATGCAACCAATACCCACCACATGATCCAGACATGGTGCCCACATCCACTGCCCACTTGCATGTGCCAGGTGCTGGGCACAAACCCACTGCCCTCCAAACATGCTCCAGATGTGCATCTATCTGCTGCCTCTCCACCCTCCCCATGTTGTGCACACATCCATCACTGCCCTACACACGCACTCCAGATGCTGTGCACACATCCATTCCCCCAAACATTATAGATGTTGTGCACACATCTGCTACCACGTGTACACACTTCAGATTCTGCACATGCATGCAATGCCCCCCCCCCCGCAACGTTCCAGATGCTGCGCGTGCATGCATTGCTCCTCACGCTTGCGGACACTCGTCTGTGAACCTTGCGGGCAGATGCCGAGTCCTGCCTGTGCTGATGCTGTGCCCTTGTGCTTGCCCACAGTTTGGTGATAACGGCGATGGACAGAGGGATGCCTCCTCTTGTGGGCTCTGCCACACTGACTGTTGTGGTGATGGACATCAACGACAACAGCCCCACCATCCCCTTGCCCTGGGAGGTGCGGGTTCCAGAGAGTAAGTGCATCTCAGCCCCATGAAATGACGTGGGCTGCATAGTGGAGGAGTGGAGGCCCAACAGAGGCCTATGGGGGGAGGGGGGAGAAACCCCCCAAAGAGGCCTAGCCCTTCCCTTACCAGGGCCTGGCTCATGCTGACCTTACTGGCTGAACTCCCCCTGCCCTTAGGCATTGACCCGTCTGGGGTGGCCTGGGGCTGGGGATGCACAGCCCCTGTGCTGCAGCCATGTCCTGAGGAAGCTTGCTGCAGTTCCCACTCATCTTCAGCTGCTGTCTGTGCTATAGCAGCTCTATCTGCACATGCCTGCTCTCTGCCCACAGCTTACATGTCCTTTCCCCATAATGTCCTCAACCTGCCCTAAGTAGCCCCTGGGAGCCGTCCCTTCACCCCTAACATCTCCCTGTTGTCCTCAGTGCTGCCATCTCTGGGTTGAACTGGTTTCCCCCCGGGGTGAGCCTTGCCTTGTCCTCTTCAAAGAGACAGGGCACTTGCTAATGCCTTGCTTCTTCCTAGACACGCTACTGGGCACCCAGATAGCCCAGCTGACAGGGAACGATGTGGACTCAGGCCCCACGCTCTCCTATACACTTGTGCTGGATGGTGATGCCATGGGCACCTTCAGTGTGCTGCGGTACGGGGGACACATCGCCCTGACAGGACCACTGGACTATGAACAGCGCAGCCACTACACCCTCACCCTGCGTGCCTCTGACACCCGCCACGAGACCGAGGCCAACCTGACCATCGTTGTGGAGGATGTGAACGACAACGCACCAACTTTCAGCCAGGGCTTCTACCAGGTACTGTGCACACATGCACCTGAGCATGCATATGCCAGGCAGTGCAGGCTTTCCTTGCCCAAACCCTTCTGATACTCCTGCAGCACTGCCTGGCATGGCCCACCTGGCCTTACGAGGGCTGCCCGAGCAAAGGTCCCCATGGAGATGGGTCTGAGCCCCTGTCTTCTAGGGCCTCACACCCCCACATCCTACTGCCCCTCATACTGTCTCTGCAGCGCGGACAGGAGGCTGAGGCCAGGCACACAGCACTGCTATCAGCAGCTGCAGGCCTGCACAGCTGCATGCAGACCATCCTTGGAGGAACAATGGGAAAGCCAGAATCAGTGGGAGATGTGTCATGACCTGGACAAGTGTTTCTGGCCTGGGTCCCCCCAGGCCTGTCACTGGGCAAAAGCCAACCAGTGCAATGGGATGCATCTCTGGAGCAGAGATACAGGAAACTGGGAAGCAGGTCTACTTCTGCATTTGGTCTCAGCAAGAAACACTGTTGGCTATCGCTTCCCATTTTGGTGGCCACAGTTTTAAAAAGGATGTTGAAAGCTGTTCAGAAATGAAGCCACTGAAGCACTTGAGGGGTGGGAGAAGACTGAGCAGTGGACTATTGTCTGTTTGCAAGTACTCTCTATCTATCTGGCACACCAAAAAGATAAAGGGTGTTTTGATTTGTGTAAATTACCTTTTGTGGAGAAAATAGCAACTATTAGAGTTCTTTAGTCTAGTAGAGAAAGGTAAAGGATCAGTAACTGGAAGCTGAAGCTGGTCAGAAGTCACACCTGCGAGGCTGGGTGCTGTGCGTGTGGGGCAGGCCCCCTTAGTGTTCCAGGGAGTGCTGACCATGGCTCCATCTTCCTCCAGGTGACGTTGCCAGAACACACACCTGCTGGCAGCACCATTCTCACCATCAGCGCCACCGACCCGGACTCGGGCAGCAATGGGGATGTCACCTACCACTTGGCCATGCCCAGCCCTGACGTCGCCATCGACCCCAGCAACGGTGCGTGGGGTGGGCTGCTGTGCAGGGCCCATGCTATGGGTTGCTCTGATGGTACCTGTGGAGGGAGGTGCTCCTGTGCTGGCCTGGGGTGCAGCTTCTCACTAGGCAGCTATCTAGGGCAGCTGGTGAGGCAAACATGGTGGTGGCCAATGAGCCTCCCCACTGCAGCATCCTGGATGCCCATCCCTCCAGCCAATATCCCTGATACCTTGCATAGCTCCCTGCTGGCCCCGTACTGACCCTGGCTCTGTGCCCTCACAGGGACCCTGTTCACCATCCGGCAGATGGAGTTCGATGCCAGCCAGCCCACTTTGGACCTGGTAGTGGAGGCCCGCGACTGTGGCTCACCCAGCCTCTCAGCCTGGGCCACGGTGCAGCTCCAGGTGCTGGATGTAAATGACCACAGCCCCAGCTTCCAGGCGCCACGCTACAACACCAGCATCCCTGAGGACCTGCGCCCAGGAACCACAGTGCTGATGCTGGAGGCAGGCGACGCGGACCTCTCCCGGGAAAATGCTGGCTTTGACTACACCATTGTCAGTGGCAACGGTGGCAATGCTTTCCAGGTGGAGAGCCGGGTGGCCTGGGCTGGGGGGCATCTCCGCACACAGGGTGCCTTGGTGCTTGTGGAGCCCTTGGACTTTGAGGCCATCCCACTCTACAACCTCACCGTGGCGGCCTCCGACCGGGGCCTGCCACAGCGCAGTGCCACAGTGCCTGTGCTCATCACTGTGCAGGACATCAACGACAACCCGCCTGTGTTTGCCCGAGCTGAGTACCGCACAGCAGTGAGTGAGAGCGCACCCCCTGGCACAGAGCTGCTGCGTGTGGTGGCTCAGGATGCTGATTCGGGGCCCCGCGGCCGCGTGCGCTACACCATCAGCTCAGGCGACCAGCATGGGGTCTTCCAACTTCATGAGAGCACGGGGGCCCTGTGCCTGGCACGGCCCCTGGATCGAGAGGCCCAGGCGCTGCATGCCCTTGTGGTGCAGGCCACAGATGGGCCGGGGGAGCACTTTGCATTGGTGCCTGTAGCCATTGAGGTGAAGGATGTCAACGATAACAAGCCCTACTTCCCAGTGGAGGTGCTGAGCGCCAGCATGCGGGAGAACCTGCCACCTGGCACGCTGGTCACCACCCTCCGTGCTGTCGATGCGGACACCGGCATCTTTGGGGAGCTGCGGTATGCAGTGCTGGAGCAGCCGGTGGGGGACCCTGGCGTGGCAGAGGGCTGGGATGCGTTCGCCATCAACAGCAGCTCTGGGGAGCTGCGCTCACGCCTCACCTTTGACTATGAACGGGCCAAGGCCTTCCAGCTCCTGGTCAGGGCCACCGATGCTGGCAATGCCTCTGCCACTGTGACTGTGCGGGTGCTGGTGACAGGGGAGGATGAGTATGACCCCATCTTCCTCAGCCCCTCCTTCAGCTTTGAGGTCCCTGAGGGTGCCCGCAAAGGACAGAGCATCGGGCGGGTGCTGGCAACGGACGAGGATGAGGGGGCCGATGGTGTCGTGCTGTACTCCCTTGCAAAGCCCTCACCTTACTTTGCTGTCAACCAAACCACAGGCACCATCTACCTGCGCATGGACAGCCAACCCCAGGCCGGGGCTGGGCGTGCCAAGAGGGAGCCACGTGAGATGAGCCTGGAGGTGCAGGCACGCAGCCCCCTGCCCGCCTCCCGCTCGGCCTCCACGCAGGTCACCATCGACGTCACGCACACATCCTTTGGCCTGGCCCCAGACCCTTTGCTGTCAACCAAACCACAGGCACCATCTACCTGCGCATGGACAGCCAACCCCAGGCCGGGGCTGGGCGTGCCAAGAGGGAGCCACGTGAGATGAGCCTGGAGGTGCAGGCACGCAGCCCCCTGCCCGCCTCCCGCTCGGCCTCCACGCAGGTCACCATCGACGTCACGCACACATCCTTTGGCCTGGCCCCAGACCTCAACCTGCTGCTGGTGGTGGCCGTGGCAGCTTCGCTAGGCGTTGTGGTGGTGCTGGCTGCCGTGGCCATCGTGCTGGCACTG